GTCAACTGGTCATGGTTAACGGCAAGACAGCACGGGGATTAAGAGACAGTGGTGCGACCATCACGCTAGTGCAACGACATCTCATTAACGCATCGGAGAAGCCGGGGAAATCAATTGCTGTAAGAGTGACGGGGGGGCAGTGTATCGCATTCCTACCGCACAAGTACACCTGGACTGGGGTGTGAAAGCTGGCAATGTTCACGTGGGCGTAATGAAAGACTTACCCTCTGAAGTCGTGTTGGGCAATGACATTGGCCACCTGACTTCGGCGTTCGCCTCAACCAATGCTCAGGAGGCCCACGCAGTAACCACCAGAGCACCAGGTCGCGCTGCCGAGAGCCATCCGCTTCCTACTGAGACCCAGGTAAACCTACCCCTGACTATAGAACCCCTACCCTGGGACACCCCAGAAGACTTTGGGCGGGAGGTGACCGGAGACCCTTCCCTCAGAAAGTATCGAGAGAAAGCCAGGAGGGGAAAGGGGGGGTTAGAGAAGGAGCAGTTTATCTGGGAAAAAGGCCGCTTGTACAGGCTCACCGAGACACGGGTTAACGCACCTGGGCCTAGGCAAAAACGCCAGCTGGTAGTTCCACGGAAATACCGGCGGGAGTTATTAAGAATTGGGCACGATGTTCCTCTGGCAGGACACTTGGGAATACGCAGGACGGGATATCGGGTAACCCAGAACTTTTTCTGGCCTGGGGTATCCGACGACGTCCGGGCGTATTGCCAGACGTGCGAGATCTGTCAACGCATAGGTAAAAAGGGAGACCATCCGAAGGCTAAACTGGTTTCCATGCCCATAATTGAAGAACCGTTCACGAGGGTAGCCGTGGACATCATAGGACCCCTGGCCCAACCTAGCCGTTCCGGCAAACGTTATATCCTCACTGTGGTAGATTACGCCACCCGTTACCCCGAAGCTGTGGCCCTTTCTAACATACAAGCTGAGACAGTGGCAGATGCGCTAGTCAGGATATTCTCCCGAGTGGGTTTTCCCAAGGAGGTTCTGTCCGACCAAGGTACGCAGTTCACAGCCGAGGTAACCCAGCAGATATGGAAAGTCTGTGGAGTTAAATCCCTGACTAGTTCCCCATATCACCCCCAGACTAATGGCCTGTGCGAACGCTTCAACGGGACGCTAAAGCAAATGTTCAAGTCGTTCACGGGGGCATATAAGGATTGGGAGTGATTCCTGCCACACCTTCTCTTTGCCTACCGAGAGGTGCCGCAGGAATCGACCGGATTCTTACCCTTCGAACTTCTCTATGGGAGGCGGGTGAGGGGGCCCTTAGATCTTATCAAAGATCACTGGGAGGGCAGACCGAGATTGAGGGGACCCCGGTTGTACCTTATGTGCTGGAACTGCGAGACCGCATGGAGGAATTAGCCCCCAGGCGGTGCAGGAAAACCTCTAGGCGACCCAGCAGCGCCAGAAGGTATGGTATGACCGACAGGCTAGGCACCGGAGCTTTCAGATCGGCCAAAAGGTCATGGTGCTAAGACCGGTCTGAACAGACAAGCTCAAGGCCGCCTGGCAGGGCCCCTATAAAGTTATAGGGCAGATATGCGACACTACCTACACCATAGCTAGCTGCGAGGATGAAGATGTGAAACGAACCTTTCACATCAACATGCTTAAGGCCTATCAGGAACGGGCAGAGGAGGTGACCGCTATCTGTGCGCCAGCAGGGGAAAACAGAGACACTACCTCTTCCCGACTTATTGGGCAGTAATGAAGGGACGACCCAGATAGAGAAAGTACAGCTAGGCGAACAGCTGGAACCCCAAGAGAGGGCTCAAGCTGTCCACTTGCTAGAAACCAAACAGGCCACATTCTCTCAGGAGCCTGGGTACACAGTCCTAGCCGTCCACAAGGTGGAAACTCCAGGGCAAGCACCCCTGAGGCAGCCCCCTTACCGTATTCCGGAAGCAGTCCAAGAAGGGATGCGGAAGGAAATCGATGAGATGCTTCGGCTAGGGGTAATAGAACACTCAGAAAGTCCTTGGGCCTCGCCGGTAGTCCTAGTACCAAAGAAGGACGGGACAACCTGCTTCTGTGTGGACTACCGGTGACTCAACGACAAGACCGTTACTGAGGCCTATCCAATGCCACGGATGGACGAACTGCTTGACCGTATCCCTGCAGGGAAGTATCTGACCACAACTGACCTATGTAAGGGATATTGGCAGATTCCCCTAGTAGAATATGCCATACCCAAGTCTGCCTTCATCACCCCGTTCGGCCTATACCAATTACGGGTTATGCCATTCGGGATGAAGAACGCCCCGGCCACCTTCCAACGGATGGTGGATCATTTACTGGGAGGTCTCCAGGACTATGCGTGCGCTTACCTAGATGACATCGCCATCCATAGCAATACCTGGGAAGCGCACCTGGAACACGTAGGGGTAGTATTAGATAGGATCAGGGGGGCCGGGCTGACCCTGAAACCAGACAAATGTCATTTGGGTATGGCGGCGGTACAATATTTGGGCCACCGAGTAGGATGTGGTAAGCAACGGCCGGAGCCGGCTAAGATCGAGGCCGTTGCCAATTGGCCCACTCCCCACACCAAGACACAAGTTATGGCTTTTTTGGGCACAGCCGGCTATTACAGACGCTTTGTACCAAACTATAGCGCCCTGGCCAAACCCCTGACCGACTTGACCAAAAAGAAGTTACCCCGACAAGTCCTGTGGTCCCCGGAATGCGAGGTGGCTTTCCAAGCACTAAAGAATGCTCTTGTTAATGCTCCGGTGTTGGTTACCCCAGATCCTAACAAAAGATTTATTGTCCACACAGACGCTTCAATGTTTGACTGGGGGCAGTACTAAGCCAGATCGGAGAGGATGGAGGAGAGCACCCGGTGGCATACCTGAGTCGGAAGCTGTTGCCAAGGGAGGTCAGCTATGCCACTATTGAGAAAGAGTGTTTGGCCTTGGTATGGGCACTCAAAAAGCTCACACCTTACCTCTATGGCCGGGCCTTCACCCTCATTACCGATCACAATCCCCTGGTTTGGCTCAACCGGGTCTCAGGGGATAACGCCCGTTTGTTGCGCTGGAGCCTGGCTTTACAACCCTATGACTTCACTATCCATTATCGCCCAGGCAAGCAAAACGGGAATGCTGATGGACTGTCACGCCAAACTGACTTGGCCTCAGACTAAAAACTTTGGAAAGTCCCGTCAACCCTACTGGACCATGAAAGGTCCAACCGAGTTGCCGGAGCAGGGAGAAAAAGGGGGGCCATTGTGAAGGATTTTCATGTACTTACCTGTGTGACTTCAGTTAAACCTTCTCCCTGCTGTTTAAATGCCTGTATCAGTTCGTTTCACTATGTATTGAATGAATGTATTCGTTTACCGAACGGACACCACCCACCCTGGGTAGCAATCAGCATTAGAACGCAGAGAAAACCGCGACTTAATTGCTACCAAGTGGCCGCCATTCGGCATATGAACACGTGGCGAGAACAAAGGATGGCGGCCATCTTAAAACTCACGAATGCGGTCAGCGGGGCTTATGCATGAATTGCCTGAAACTATTTTAGGCACGGCAAACATGCGAACACCCGGTCCCCATGGAAGTCCTGGATGAATACGTTTACCTCCACGGATCAAACTGGTGTTCGGTAGATAGAATCTACTGAATGAGGGGGAACATGTAATCAGCTGCACCATACGAACGGTGGTTTTCATGTAGTTAGATGCGAACGGAGACCGGCTCTTGCTACTGATTCTATGGAACTCTAGCTCGGATACCTCCACATGGCGAGCCGGTCAAACTTACACACGATGCGACACGGAAACTACAAAACGGAAATTCGTGAGATTTGGATATATGACTACCAGTATCCTCAGCTACCCAGGGATGTTGAAATTATGTTTGTATGTTGTATAAAAAGTACTTTTCTGGAATTGTTAAGAATTGTAATATTTCTGGCCAGCGGATAATTGAGCTTTGTGTATTGTAGAAACTCAATTATCTAGCCTGGCCCAGAGGAGGAGTTTTGTGTTGCATAAATTGTGAGTCCTGTGTGCCAGTAGATCAGTCTTGTTCCAGCATTAAGCTTTGGCTCATGTGTGGATTATTCGGCGATTCCAGGGATATTTCTACTTGTGGAATATTGGGTGATTTTCTTTTATGGGAAGAAGGGAATGTTTGACGGTGATACCCTATGCTATCGTCACATGCATTAATTGTTAAACATAATGTTGCAGGAATAAGCCGCAAAAGCCACACACAGAGAAATGGAAGCAGGTTTGTTCAGGAAGAAAAAGGTCTTTATTGTTACCGATCGGGTCTCAGATGAACTCCTGTTCTAAAAATGTCTGAGCCCAGAACATAGTTTGCACAGGCTATTTGTTAACAATAACTCCTCCTATTCCTAGCTTCACCCACACATAGCCTGAGACCAAACAGTGAACAGGATATTCAGGATCACCTCATATGGGCAGACCGTA